TGCGGGTGCGCGTGCGCACGCGGAGGGGTGGGTTTTGTGCCTGCCTCTCTGCCCCTGTAGAGAGAGAGAGTGAGAGAGAGAGAGAGAGAGTACTGCACCTTTGCTTGGGGGGTCTGTTCGCCCTCCTCGCATTGGGGGGGAGGCAGGTGGTTGACCTGGACTGTACCTCCAGGAAAGCCTTCCTGTCTTTTCCGGCAGTGCTTGAGACCACACGTCGCTGCCGTGTTGCTTCAGTGGCCCCACTAGTGACTAGTGCCATAGGATTCCGCGCCATACTTGAGAAGGGCGAGTTTGAGCTAGCTATTCCGCTGTGCACGACCTCGTTACTGAGTACCGTTACTGCAGGAACTTCATCCCGCGGGCTTTTGAAAACAGGGGGACGGTCCTCTCCGTCTCAGAGGACTTTGCATTTACGACCACGCCGTTCTTTCTGTCCCTACGTGGCACAATGGAGGGGAGGTGCAGGATCTGCCGATACGGTGGGGGAACCTGTACGATTGGCTTCAGGAAAACCCCATGACAGAAATGACCCTCAATGAACAGTTCATGGGCCAACTGCAAAAGCCAATGTGCCTCCTGAGCGCATGGGACAAGGATATTTTTCTGCGATCGCAAAGTCAAAGTCTTGCTTGCTCTCTCTCTCTCTCTCCCCTTCCTCCTGTCTTTCGCCATGTTCGATGCACTGCAGGGCAGTTGTTTGGTGTATGCCGAACAGGTCCATGTGTTGTGCAATTGGCCCTTTCAAAGCACCTGCGCTCTGCTGCCCGGCGATGCAGTGCCACTCGGGCACATGTGCAGGCATTACCGGGGGCCGATGCTCGGGGATAGGAGTGCAGCACCGACAGCAGGGGGGGTGCGGGTTTTCGAGCGTGCGAATCCACGCGGGGGAACAGACCCCACTGGCCATGCTGGCAGTGAGCACAAGTCAGAACGGGGGCCTCGACCTGCACCGGGGATGGGCGGGACAAAGGCCTAGGGTCGCTGGACGATCCTGTTTTTCAAAAAGGCAAGGGATTCAGGTCTTGTGGATTGGTGGTTGTGATAACCCGGGTATTGTTTCTGCATCCACTGGGCAGGGGATGCCATCGATAGTCCATTAAAGGTCTCCACCACCTAGAGCCCTTTCAGTGCTATTGCTTTCTTTGATCGATGTTTTTGCCGCAAGCGGGGAACCATGTTCAAACAGCTTGTGAGTGTACTTCTAAATAGCAAATGCTTTAGACCACTTCCCCGGGATTGGGCCGTTCTCAAAGTGTCTGTGTAACGTTCGCACCAGTTACCGTATGCTTTAAATGCTAATTACCTGGCAAGCACCGGCCAGCCAGATCTAGCCCATTCGCCCGACACACCGAGGTTTCTGCAGAACTGAGACGCACGCTATTTCGATCCCCAACAAAGGGGATGTTACGAGCCTGTGTTTTCTTCCGTTGTACCGGCCTCAACACTCCTAACTCCTAGCACAGGGGCCCCATGTTGCGGTGGGGTTCTGTGACATGACCCTTGCGTCCTATGACTTCGAGAAAGAGAGACACTGACGCCTGACTTTTCCCTTCGGAAATCAAGAACGGTCGAGCGAGAGTGTGCGAGCGTGGCGCGTTGGAGTGCCGTTGACTATGCAGTAGGATTTTTCCCTTATGAAAGGCTCGACGGCTGTGAAGACGATGCCATCCAGCAGGCCAACTCTCGCAACTGTTAGTCCCGACCTACGACATACTGAGACGTTAAGGTTTGATTCTTCTTGCAATAGTAGACATTGTGGAGGGCAGGTCGTCACAATTCTCCAGCTTGGGTGATTGATTGAATGGTTTCAAGCCCAATCAACATGGACGGCGTAGTAGCTTAATGGCTTGAGAAGCACCGGAGGCACAGGGGCGACGGCTGATGGGCATCGGCGCTGAGCAGAACCGTGTGGTGGTGCCTGTAGACATCGCCACAGTCCCTCGATTGGTTTGGTGCTAAGACTTGGGTTGGCGTTCTCTAGATCCTGAAGGCTTCGGCATGTTTCCGTACATCTGGCGTGCATGCTGCATGCGACCGAGGCCCACTGAACATGCGACGGCAGTGCAGGTGACCGGGTGAGCACGGCCTGCTTGGGGCAGAGTCCTCCAAATCCATAGATGCACCGACGTCGTGGTTCAAGGCCACCGGTAGCGTCAGAGCATGCACGAAAAGCGCCGCCCAGAAGCGCATGGTTTTTCCAACATGCAAGCTTTGATGTCGCGCAGCGGCCAAATTTTTAAGCCTTTCTGTGTCGTGAATCCATGTCAAAGAAGTCCCTGAAGACTTTGTGAAGGTCATGTCCTAGGCGCGAAGCACGGAAGGCAAACAGGTCGTGTGTTCGCTTCATTATGACGCACCAGGGAATAGCATTTTCCCAAGAAGCAGCAAACACAGGCTGCTTCCACAGATTCGACTGAACACATACCAGGTCTACGCCAATGGGCGTGCATCTGTCTTAAGTCTCCGTTGCCAGCGGAAACCCGGCAGGCGCCAGGAGCAATAACAAAAGGTTGTGTACAGCACATGCCGTCAAAGGTTACACGGTATGCGAACAGGGTAGGGTTCAAAACCAGTCGTGCAGCTTGGGCTGTAGACACCCCTGTTGTACTCTGTTCTGACATTCCTGAGTGGCGAAGCCAGACCGAGCCCTATTTAATCGGAACTTAGCACAGCCCTGCTCGTGTAACCCGACGCATGCAGCATTATTTCCAAGAGGTTCGAGCCTGCAAAGGGCTCGCACGCGGCACATGTGCCAGAAAATTTTGAGAATTAGCAAGGGCCTCGTGTTGCCTGTCTTGTGGGAGCCTGCGACCTCCGAACTCTCAGACTGAAGCATTTTCGATTCTCGAGCTCCCATCGCAACTTGTCCTGGGGTTTTTACCTGCCGCCATGAGCCGAGTTTGCATCGTGCTGAGTCTTTTGATGGCCACGGCCTATGGAAACCTACGGGGCAGTGAGCCGGAACCATGCGTCGATCAGGGCAGCTCCTGCACTCCAACAACAAATCGTTGTTGCCAGGGGCCAGGGTTGATGACCTGCCGCCTGCGCCCAAGCCGCGTGGCAGGGGACGAAGGCATGGCCTACCAATGTGGAGAGGAATTCCCGGAACAGAAGCTGCCAGATCCCAGCTGCACGCCAGAAGGTCGGAAAACATGGTTTGATTGCTTTGGTTTGTTTCGCTGTTGACTGGAGCCTAGAAGCCAAACCGATAACTCAAACATGAGCAGGTCAGGAGTGCACTTCCGACTTCAGCTGCTGCCAAGTGGACCGCAGCAGCTTGCCCATGACCTGCCAGCTTGAATACGGGCCGAAGAAGCGCCGGGTCTGCAAGGGCAAGATGGACAACCTGGGTGCAGAAACGGCTTGCGTTGCGGAGGCCTAACAAAGCCCATATTGAACCTAGCCCTCGGCCATTCTGACAAGTCTAAGATGTCTAGGTCGGTGCTGCCTGTTCTAGGGTCGCTTCCGCAGGGAAGCAGCTGCAACCCTTTGGAGAACAGCTGCTGCCAGGATCAAGATGGCTGGAGCCCTGGCTGGGGCTAAGACGTCCGTGTATGCACAGCGAAGACTTCACGCAATTACATCGGCGTTTCTTCGAGCTGAGGCGCAAAAGCTCTGCGAACCTGTCAGCTCAAGTTCCTTGAGCAACCTGGAGAGCACAGCATGGCATACCTCTGTGCCAAGGAAGCATAGTCACTAGTCACCGAGTCTAGATGGAGCCTGGAGCCCGCGATGGCCTTTGTCCTTGTATCGAACTCTTTTTTGGGACATCTGGGACTGAGTAGGACAGCCATCTCGGGCAGAGGCATCGCATTCGGTGCAGGGCTTGAGCACAAGATCAAAGCCGTACGTTGGCATTTTGTGTGGAAGGGATGGTCGGGTGTCCTGAGATCGTCTGAAGTGTAGTGTGGGACTTGATAGACGTGGGAGCATGTGGGAGAGTTGTGGAAGGGAAAGGGCCATCAAGCATCCCCCTGGCAGAGTCCGACGGCTCGGCAACTGCTGTTTTTGGCCCGGATCCTGCAAATATCTGCAAATCACTTTTGGGAATTCAGATGTCGTTTGCATCTAGAGGCAACACCATGTTAGCTTCGGCAAGTTAGAGAGGCACGACCACGCCGCGGTTGAGCCTTTCATGAGTGGGGCACGAGACCTCCAAGTTTTGCTTAATACGTATGCCAGGCCTGCCCTGTTCTCTGTGAAAAGGCTGTAAGCCACCGCACAGATCAGTGCATGAAGCACGCTCCAGACTGATGTGATGTGTAAACCTTATGCATGGCGTCGGCGAAGACCCCGCCCCAGGGCAAGTCTGGCTTGAATCGTAAAGCGGCACCGTCCAGACCAATTTTAACAAGCGCAGTTTTCGACACCTCAGTCCATCCCTGCTTGAACTTTGCACAGAGCTTTCCGCATGACACGTGGTCCTGGCCAAGCACAGGAGGTGTTGGGAGCATGCTCTTGAAACTTGAGTGGCTCATGCCTCGGAGGCGTAGGCCCTCCATGAGTGCTTCGGAGAGCAAAGATGCCTCGCGGGATGCAGGGACACGGGGATGCATTCGCAATGTGTGCGACGCGTTTGGGCCGTGACAGGACGCAGGCGTCCGGCACACACCCACGACAGTACGCATGGCACGCTTGGGACAAGACTTAGGGACATGTGTGATTGCCACACGACGCATGTGGGACACGCAGGTGGTCGGGTGGACTTGGGGTGGGGGTTGGGAAATATACCACTAGATCAAGACGCCCCAGGCCGTGGTAGTCACAGTGTGGACAGGAGGCGGTAGCCGTGTGGCTCAGGCGCCCCTTAAGGCGCTTGCAAGCCATATGACATATGAGAGCTAGCAAAGGGCATGAGCTGAGTCGGCCAGCGGAGCGCTTGCAAGCATTCGGCGGATACGGCGTCGGCGCACATGAGTAAGTCTCTATTTGGAGCATCACAGGGCAGCATGGCCATCGCTTAATACCACCTCTTTGCAGTGCCAGTTCGAGCGGCAGCCATGGCTTGCTGTGCCATCTTTATCGGTGTGCTGGCGGTGTTGACTGGATCCCTTCTGGCCCTGATGCAGCGCCGGGGGCTGCTCGCGGCTGGGGAGGCGCGGCAACATTTGCCTGCATGGGCATCTTGGTGCTCTGGAGGCGGCACCCGACCTGGGCATTCCCACCGCGAGCATGCCGCCTGGTTCAAGAGCAAAGCCGAAGAGCAAATGTGAGCTGTTGTGAGCTCATGGTATGTGGCCTGTCCGCAGGACCCACGAGTTTCGGCCCGGGCTTGTGGAGTCCGTAATTGCCTTGGACACCCCGCCTGGAAATCTCGCAGTGTCAGCTTCAGGCCAGGACACAAGGGGCTTGAACAAATCTGATGTCGGCCAGCCAGTGTTCTCTGTGCAGGCCGCATCATCTTCAATTTCCACCCAATGCACACGCAGCCCTCAGGCTACAAGTTTGCCGAAGTGGTGGGTGACTCCTGGATTCCCAGGTGCGCGGAGGGCGGAGGGACCCCTCCCTGGCTTCCCAGTTGAATCCCAGTTGAATCCAAGCCAGGCTGGACCTGGACCGAGCCACAGAGGAGGTGCTCTCACTGCGCATCGGCTCTTCTGGAAGGCTCTTTTTGTTGGACCACGCAGGCCGGGGCCGTGCTGACCCTGCACACTTTGCCTTCACCTGGTCTTTGACAGGTCACGGCTTGTTGCATACTCCAAAGCTGGTGGTTTTCCAAATGGGGACAAGCGCAAGCGAGGATCACTTCCAGCTGGCTTACCCCTTTCCCAGCGAGATCTCTGGATTCGGTTCCATGCTGAATGATTTCAACTTATCACCCGATGCAGCTCGGCCACAGGGACAAGTGCACAACGCGATGGACCTGAGCGATGGACGACCTCAAGCTTACACTTCAAGCATAACCCGGCTTGCAACATGCAGCCAAGGAGTCGATGCTGTACATTGCCGACACATCCATCATAGGTGGCACCCCTGCCCTCATAGCTTGCTCAGTCCCGCTGATGGAGCAGCAGTCCAAGGAACCTAGCGACCGCATCAGGGGTGACCGGGCAGTGTGGGTGTGCCCAAACCAGGAGGCCTGCCGGCGCTATCTTGATGGGCACCATTCCGTGACACCTCAACAGTTGGCACCTCGAACTGGATCTGTGTGAAGAGCCTGGCTTGAGCCGTCAAAAGCGTGGCTGTGCAGAGATGGAACCAGCGCTCGCCCTGCACACGCTGAGAGCATCAACGTGAACGGCGACTCCGCTCTCTGGCCAGCTCTGTCACGCATCGGAGTCGATAGCATTGCCCTCGACCGGAAGGGAGAGAGCCTCGGCAGTTCTTGGCCAGGCTTCTAGATTTCAACGGGGCCGGAAGCAGATAAGAGCATTGACCCAGGTGGCTCTACTTTGGCCCTCTGACCTCCGCGTCGCTCTTCCGCATCCCGGCCAGTCTCCTGAGTGCCAACTCCTCCAACACCGAGGTCGCTGCTGCAACGGGCACGCATGTAGAACTGCTCTTTGTGCCTGCCCCTGTGTGCCGGCACTCGAAATCTCAATTGAGGCAGTGGAGTGGTATGCAGAGAAGCCCATCTCTGACGGGATCGGCACAGACGATGCAGGCTGTTTTTCGATTGAATGCAAGCCCCCGTCTTCGATTTGAGCGCTGAAGGTAACGTTCTGTTGACGGCCTTCGAGCACAGTGCTGTTGTAGCCATCACGCCAGCAAGGTCCCTCAAGGCTGGGTGGTAAAGTAAAGCAGGGTCAGTCCACATCGCCGAGACGTATGCAGGTTGTGTACCGGAGCCAGCAGCATCTGCTGCGATCTGAGACCGGAATTCTGTAGTGATGAGAGCACTGATCAACATCCCAGGCAGCCGCCAATCCACAAGAGTATGATCTCCGGGAGCATAGGTCGCCAGTTTTTGAAGCAGGAGGTCCTTTATAAGAACAATCAACCTCAGGGCAGCTGGAATTCTCTTGGTATTTCCCATATGGTAGAAGGTTGTATACTGCGAGCACGTGCCACCTCCTCCCCTGTCCAATTGCTATGCCTGTCGCACACTTGCCCATCCGTAGCCTGCCGCGGTTTGATTGGCATCGAACCGCCAAAGGCCCAACTTGACAAAAGAGGGGCTTGGTACACGAGTGTGGCAATGTCAGTTTACGATTCTCTGAAACCACGAGCATGAATGAGGCCGGCCAGGGATATCCGATGGCCGGCCGACAGTTCAACCGTGACAACAGTGATGCCGTATTGCCATTCCGAATGTATTGTAAGTACAAGGCAAGGCAAGCCGACATTCTACCACTTTGCATGCAGCCTCAGCCTCGAGTGTGATTGTCTTGCAATCCACGTCAACTTCACTCAGCATCACCACAGTGTGGTACAGCATCGGCTGGAAATGCTAACGCTCCCGCAAAGGCAGTGGCCAGATGGGTTAAGCTTTGGTCCCGAACCTTGGGCAGAATTGCTCCAAAGACATGCTGTGACTGACTTCTGCATTCACCGACACGGTTCCTGCTTCATGTGGCACTTGGGATTTCAGAGGTGCAGCTGAAGGGCATTGCTGAGGATAGCTGGCTCTACGTCACCTCCAGTGCTTTGCACCACACGATGCGAGGCTGCGCAGGGAACTTGGTTTTGTGGAGATTCGCACTGAACCTTGGGGTGACTGTCGTCCTGGAGGCAGGAACGTTGCCAACCACGGCCCTTTCCACATCTTGCGCCTGAAGATGACCACTGGTGCAGCACCAGGTCAGTAGTGGCATCAGGACCAACGGCGTACCTGGGAATCAAAGACTCGAGAGCTGATGAAGAAGCATCCTTCAAACTGTGACAAAAATTGCCGACTTCAGAATTGAAAGTCGGTGTTCTCCCCACCAGACCTCGCCCAGAGGCAGCATACCTGCCACCGCCCAAATCACGCACTTCGAGTCTGGACGCAGATCGTCTGCTGCTCTTAGGCGGCATCTCGGCTAGAGAGGCAACGACCAGCCTCTGCCTGCTGCTAGACTGCTAGACTCTGCTAGACGTGTTTCTCTTGCAGGACGTCCTGTTTTGGCGAAGCAAACTGCTTCGCTTCGAGCGCCGCGTGAAGCAGCTCTGGGCACCCAGGCACTGCTGTGAAGCAGGCCCGTCCGACGCCGCAGAGTCGTGGGAGTGGGTGTTGGTGACCGCTTTAGATCTTGCAGTGTACGATAAAGCGTGTATTGAAGTTTTGGTAACCGCGTATACCATGTATGGTAGTTACGCGGCCTCCTTGGCTGTTTGGCTGAGCTCCACAAGGTAGCCGCGGCCATCCTTGATGGTTCCTGCCATGCTGTTTGGTTAGGGCACGGCATGAGACTGCCGCATTCATTCGCCAACACTGGCTTTGGTGGATCCGTGCTTTCATTGGTCCTTCTACGATTTGCAGCTGGCGGGCTGGAGCAGTCATCAGCATGCACAGATTCACATGCCCTTATCAGCATTCAGAAACATGAGTAGGGAATCTACTTCCTGCCTTCTGCGTTTGCTTGCATTCATGTGTCGTGTGCTTGACGTGCGTGGGGAGGTGCAGATTTAGCGTTGCATGAGCTCTTGAAGTATCGTGTGGCAGCCAAAGACAATGCCGCCTGGCAGCAAGAGGGGCAAGAAAGTACTAACAGTGCTGAAGTCCAGCGATGAAGGCGTTCTCCGGAGATGCTGAGGTCAGCATGCTCCTCTCACAGCCGACAATTTCGGCGAAGGAGTGCAAGAAGAGGGCAGACAGAGACCTGAAGAAGCTCTTGAAGGCGGCGCCCGAAGCGCCCATCCCCATCGAATGTGAGGAACATCTGAAAGACTACTATTGCCGGCTGATTTTGGAATCGCAATCCTTCAACACGTGTGCGAACCTCTCGGACGAGCAGGGCTTGCAGTACTTTGAGTGCATTGCGCGACCCATTCAAGGACAAAAGCCTGCACGAACGGCCTTTGCTTCTGATTGCAACGTGGACAGCATGGCCGCTTCCGGCAAAGGTACTAAGGCTTCAAAGAAGATTCCCTGGAGGCTAGAAGTGCCTGGCAAGCTGCGCATCGCCTTTCTCATCGTCGCCCACCAGGCCGTGAACAACGTGCAACGCCTGTTGCAACGCATTTATGACTCGAGCCATGTCTACCTGGTCCACATAGATCGCAAGACTCCGGCCATCAAGACCCAACTGGACCGCTTCCTGGCAGGCTCTCAACTCGCAGCGAGCGTGCATACCTTTTCAGAAATTGACGTGACGAAGGGCAGCAACGATCTGCTCCGGATCAGCATTCTGGGCCTAAGGCGGCTCCTAAAGCTGCGACCCGCTAAAGGTGAAGAGTTGCCTTGGGATTACTTCGTAAAGCTAAGTGAGTTTGATTATCCTGTGGCCCCACGCCATGCCTTGCAGCATTACCTATGGTTGCACAAGGGCCTGAACTTTGTGGGCTTGGATGCTTGCTCCGCATCCACCTGTTCGCGGCATTTGGGCACTGCATGCGCCGGAGCTACATACAGTTTCGTCTCGACACTCAGGATGCACAAGCCCCTTTCTTTTGGTATGCATTTTGCCCGCGGGAGCGAGTGGGTGGCTCTGACCTTCGCCTTTGCGAAGTATCTGGTTCGCGAAATAGACACGCCATCCTCTGCCATGCACGAGATTTGGAAGGATTGCCTTCTCTTGTACCAGCCGGACGAAGCTTTCTTCCAGACGGCTATTCTCAACTCTCGGTTCTGTCGGCATCACGTGAGCATGACACTACACCATATCCCTGCAGTGCTGCGAGAACGCAGAACTCATGGCAAGCACGATGAAATTGGTACTCGCAGTCCCAATGTGTTTTCCCACGAAGACTTGGCCGTTCTCCTGGATGCTCAGCAGCCTCGGTTTTTTGCACGGAAATTTCTGAACGTAACAGGCGAGCCCACATCTGAGCTCTGCCGGCGACTGGACGACTTGAATCAAGAGCGGGAGTTAAACACGGCGAAGATGTCATGGAAAGGCTTGCTGCCGTGGTTAGAGGCTAACTTCACGACATGGGCACAGCTAGCAGGGCTTGCACCTTGGGGGAACTTGACCTGTCCGGCTCGTGGGATGGGTGAGTCATGCGAGGAAGCGAGCATCCAATTGCTGGGTCGGCTGGGATCTGGCAAGTCAGCTACAGCACCCACTCGGGCCGGCAGGTGGTCACCAGAGACCTGGCTGCTGCAAATTCGCGGGTCGGACTTGACAGTTCTGCTTTCAGAGAGGTTTGCAGTGCCGATGCTAGCACCTGAAGGCTTCGCCGGCACGAGCATTGGGGTGGCTCTTTTGGCCACTAGGATCGGCACAGGTTGGAGAAGGGAACGAGGCGAGTTTGAGGGTCACGTCGGCGTAATTCCGGCCACCAGCCTTTCTGCACGAGACCTCCATCTTGCCATTTACTGGGGCCCCATCGTGCCGGACCCAGACACGGATATTCAGGCAGTGGTGGACTGGATGACCCCGGATGGCACGAAGTGTGGTCAGACGAAAGTACAGCTGTCAAAAGAGTCTCACCTGTCCGGGTGCCCCGTTGGCGTGGCCGTTCCGCATGACTGCGCCCGCATGGCGAGACCTGGGACCTGGGCAACAAGAATACGACTGCGGGGTGCGACCAGCAAGACATCGAGCGCAGTGTTCGCATTGCGTGAGTTTGCTGTGTACGCTAGCTTTGAGGACCTGTCTGTTGTGCAGATGCAACGCTTTTTCGGGCTAGAGCTCCTGCACAAGCCGGAGGGGGATTCCAAGGATCTGCAAAATGAACGGGTCTCGGACCACAGCTCAGAGCCGGTCCACCTGACGGCCTGACGGTCTGACGGTCTGTGAGGTGTTCGTGGCCTCTGAGGGCAGTTCCTGACGTGCTAAACCGAAGAGATGAGGTGACCAGGTAGAAGGCGCATTGAGTTTAATCCTACCGGTACAAATGTAGAAGGAAGTCGGACTGGCAACAGGGTGAGATGATGGAAGGCCAAGAAGTGGAAAGTTGAAGGTTCCATGGAAAACTGCATCCAACCATGCACTTCTGAACCATGGAGATTTTTCCATGCATCCTACCGTTTTCTCCGCATTTCTCGGCACAGCATGCGCGGGCATTGTACATGTGTTGAAACTCCCTTGCAGTGATGAGTGCTGCCTCTGGTTTTGGAGCAGGTCTTTGAAGCAGTTGGTGGGTTTTGGCTTTGCCACTGGAGCATTGGTTAGACCTGCGCACAACCGCGTTTGGTTTTCGCAGACTTGTAGGCACAGGTGTTTCGTAGCTTTCCGGCTTTCCCTGCCAGTGTTGGTGTTCTTGCGGCGACAAGTCGGGCTCTCCACAGCTTCAGCCGCTACGGAACGGTTGGCGTGTCATCTCTAGGGCCGGGACACCTGCCAGGCCGAGCCAGCATGCCCGCTGATGCTGCGAGACGGTGATGCTGGATCTTTTGTACAAAGGTTCACCAAAGGTGCATGGCAGAAATCGCTTTAAGCAGGTTGCAGTAAAATGTGTTTGTGTGAAGTGCGAAGTGTCGAGGCTTGTTGGAAGTGCTTACTGAAGTTGGCGCTCTCCCCGGTCTTTCTAGCCACAGGACAGTCTTATGCCCATGCCAAGGCCACAACAAGAGACATACATCGGATTGCAGTGCAGTTGAGCACCGAGGACCCAGCAGGTTCGTGACGATACCGGTCATAACCAGAGGGCAGCAGCTAAACGGCCTCAGCAGCCGCGGGCCATAGATGGCCCGCAGGAATCACACCCGGAAACCTCGTAGCCGACCTGGCCTATGCCGAAACTAGATTGAGCCTGCAGCAATCCCGGAACCCATGGCTTTGGACTCCACTCGCGCCATCATCGCTCTGTGGCGCCTCTGTGTTCCTGCAGGCCTTGGCCCACAGGTGGGCCAACAGAATCTGCTAGGGTGCTTGATTCAGCAGAGCGTCCTCAAGCAAGCTGTTGCAGAGGTCGGTGGTGATGGAGCTATCCCAGTAGATGTTCTCAAGGCAGGGCAGGTCTTTGGCATCGTGAGATCATGAGCTGTAGCCACTAGTGCTACGGCTTGGCGCGATGCTGTTGTTTTCTATCACTTTGCCCGGCCGACTTCCCAAGCCCGGATGCAAAGATGCAAGAAAAAACGGGCAGGTAAATTGAGGAAGCATCGCGCGTCTCCTGTTTTTCCGGCACTGCAGGTGGTACTGGAGCGGGAGCTGCAGGGACACTTGGGTGACTTTGGTCAGAGCTCCGTCGATGAGATCCTGCACTGGCCTTGTGGCTTCGGCTTCGGACTTGAGTTGATCCAAGCAGAGCTTAGGCAAACCTACATGCAGCCAGACTCCGAGGGGGTTGTAGGTTTTCTCCAGTTCTGGAAAGGCATGGAGGACGGGGGAGTTGCTTGAAGCCAGCGATGACGCAGTGCAGAAGCAGCTTTGCAGGAGATTCTCCGTGCTCGCGGGGCGCTGCGCAGCACTCTGTCGCGGGCGCAGGACAACATTACAGAAATTGCACTCGGACGGTCCGTGGCAAGTTGTGTTGGAAGGTGTTGGACATGCTCATGCACGTTGGCTGTGCAAAGGGTGTGCATGTCTGGATGCCTCATGACATCGCTTTTCGTCGCTGTTCATGTGGCCACACTATGCCGCAACATCCCAATATTGTTGATGCAGTCAAGCCATCTTGCGGCTGAAATCAGCAGCGGGGAGTGCACGGTAGAGAATGGGCACGTTCCCCCGTCTCGAGACGGCAAGAGTTGCAGCGTGTTGGGATTATGCAGTTGCGTCCATTTGACACGTGGCGTGTTGTGAGGAGGAGGCAATCATCGGCTTTCGCTGGCAGACTCGGGGGGGATCTTTCCGAATTCGTGCTTTTCTTGGGCTGTTTTGGAGCTTCGGCTCGGCCGAGGCTTCCTGCGCACCTGCCTCCTGGACATGGCCGCTCGCCAGGCCGCCGGGCCGCCGGGCCGCTTTCACACGAAGCCTACTGTAGCAGCCGAGCAGCCGTCAAAACTTGCGCGGCAGCTGTCCAGCGCAAGCCGAGAATTTCTCCAATTCTGCAGCCCACCATACTTGATTCAGAGTTGCAGACATCGGTATGCAGCATGCAGTTGTCGAAGGCGTGGCAGGTATCATTTGGGTTAGGTAATCCAGCAGTGCGAGTTTTGGGAAGCGACGCGGCGCTATGAGAGCGCATCTGGAGCCGGCTCCGTACAAGCTTCTTCATGTCAGGCTGAGGTTTTTGGGCGAGCAGATCGATCGTTCATCTCGCCTACCCAAGCCGGTTCACAAGGGCGAGGTGAGGGACGTGTGTTTCTCAGGCGGCCTCGCAGACCTGAACGAACTGGTGGAGAAGTGGCTCGGATGCCCAGGCGAGTGGAGAATGAACAACGTAGCGAATTGGCCACTATCTGAGGACGCCCTTCAGCGACCCACAAGTGCTGCTTGCCCGATGGTGGTGAATGTCGTGAATCGGACGGAAAAGGTGAAGAGGGATGTCGACTCCTTGCAGGATCGGCTCAAAGACCTTGAGGACAAAGTGAACTCGCTGGTTCAACAAAAGACTGCAGACCAGCAGCAGCTATCTGGGCGCCTGGATAAGCTTACAATGATTGAGGAGTATTGGGACCTGATGACCGCAGACACCGATTCTGCAGAACGTGTGCCACAGGTCCGATCTGGCCGGAGCCGTCGATGCTGGGCCCTGGTGGTTCAACCCTCTCCGGTGTTCTTGCCAGTGCTTCTTTTTGCTCTTACCACAGGTTTATGGTGGATGAGCAGGACTGAAGTACAGTTTTTGGAGCACGACGTCAAGAGTTCAGAAGGTCAGTACATTTCCCTGGAACGTAAATCCAAGCACATCGTCAGCAGTGTCAACTCACAGCAGAGGAAAGAACACGAATATCTTGTTAATCACCTGGAGATGACGACTCGGGATATTGACCGGCTGCACACCAATATCTCCAACCTGTCAACTTGGCTTGGCTACATGACCGAACTTCAGGTCAATATGTCCAACATGTCTACGTGGCTGGTCCGGGCCGAGGCCAGAGACGCCAGCCTGCGCAAAGATCAGCACAAGTTATCTGGCAAGGTGAATGAAATCAGTGACCAGATCACGCACGTTGAGGAAGACGAGGGGAAACTGTCCTCCAAACTTCGAGACCGGATTCACGAGCTGGAAGAAGAGATGAAAGCTGTGGAGAAACAGGTGTCGTCCCTGCAGCTTGCAGACGAAGCAGCGCGGAATCAGTCTGAGAAGATGCAAGACGAAATGACTAAATTGAACTCGACATTGCAGCCGGAACTGTTGCGTGTGAACCGCACGGCGCAGCAACTGCAGAAACTGGAGAAGGAGAGTGCGGAGGCGAACCGGTCATGGACGCTTCTTTCTGATCAAGTTTCGAAAGTGCAGGACCACACGTTGCCTGATTTACGCACAGCAGTTGCGAAACAGGCCTCGACCATTGCCAGATTCAAATCGAACATGTCGAGTTGGCATCACGTGGAGGAAAAGTACAGCCAGAAGGGCGTGGATGCCGAACGAAAGGTCAACATGGTCGAAAAAGAAGTGCAAAAGTCGCTCCAGAAGACGACCGCGCGGCTGCAGCAGCTGGCATCTTTGCAAAGGCTGGAGAAACAGCTAAAGCAGCAGCAACTACACTTCTCTGAGCGTTTAGAGTCCATCGAGGCGAAGCTGCATAATGCGCTCGTGAATGCGACTGAAGCCTGAGCCTCTCAGGGCATTGTCCGTGAAGGACGCGCGCGCTCGCCTAAAACACTTGTGCGTTCCTGTGCCTGAACCTATCCATCCCTTGAGCGGTCCAGGGCAACCACTAACCCGACCATCTTGGAACCTTTTCTGTGGATTCGATGGGCTTTACATTTGCGGTCTGCAGCCTTTCTAGACGCCAGAGACTGCGTCAGTTGAAGTGCAGCTCCAAGGGCCGGTGTCGGCATGTGGGCGAGATCAGGCGCTCGCCTCTGCCAGGTGTCTCAGGGCAGGTCCTCCTTCAGCGTGAAGGAGCTCAGGCGCCTCAGGGCTGAGTTGAGGTCGACTCGTGAAATCGACCGGCCTCCGCCCCAGGTACTTCATTGGCCGAACTACGGCCCTGACAGGGGCGGAGGGTGAGGCGTTCTGGCGCTTGGCCCTCGGAGTACTTTCCTCCAGCTATGTTCTCGACTGGTTTCCTCTTCAAGGGGTGCTTGAGATCTAGGCGGCCCGGACTATTCTGGCGAAGCCACCACCAGCCATATGTTGATGAATTGACACGTCGGCATTCCGGGTCGTCATAAGGAAGATGACCAGCAAATCAGACTGAAACTTCACTTTGTCGGCACTGGAAGTTGAGAAGGGCTCTTGGCAAAGCTAAATGCTCAGTGGAAAAGATCAATCGAAGGCAGTGGTTTCCTTCTGTCAGGAGGCTAAGCAAGACTTCAGCCCTACAGGATGAAGCTTTTAAAGGCATTCGGTCAAACGTTTTGCCCCCAAAAAGGTTCCATTCACGGTGCTTCCAAGGCAAGCAGGCCCGGCAGCTTCCCGAGGACCGGGCACTTGGCACGAAGCGGCAGAGCGGCGAAGAGCTCTCGGACCTGTAGGACCCAGAGATGCTCGTAACCGGCGAGGAAGTGGCCTCGGCAATGCCCTGTCCCTATTTGTGTGCATCGTGCATTGCAGGGCTGGTGTTCCTTGCCTTTCTGTTTGTAAGGTAATCGGCCGTGTTTCGATTGCGCCCATGAATGCTGAGGCTCACGTGGCTGGAGCAGCTTGTCGATGAAGGTTCCGTGGCCGATGACCGATCAATCAAGGGGTCATGGAAGAGGGCATCAAGGGATTGATAGTTGAGAGTTGCCAGGCATCCTGCAACATGTCCAAGAATCGAATTTAACATGTCCACTGCCCTTCAGGCCTCGGTGAAGAAGACGAGGACACGAGATCCACACATGTCTGCGGCTTGTAGTTTCATAACCACAGCCTGGACGCCTTATAGATCATCTGCAGAGGACACAGGCGATGACGAGGAAGAGGCGAGTATCATCATAACTCCAAGGTGTCTGACTTGGTTTGTGTCGGAGCAGTGCCCTGCAGTGCGGGGCAGGTGGGCTTCGAACAGGTCGCATCAAGCCAAGCTTGAGACGATTGCCCTTTCCTCCCGTGTCATCATTGATACGGAACCTCTTTGCTGCTATTGTTGCGGCATGACCTCAGATAGTTCATGAATGACTCCGTGCTGTGAACTCGGGCTCAGGCACTTCCCCCTCCCCCAAGCTCGTCGCCAGCATCGTCGAGACTCGAAGTCAGCATCGCAGAGTAGCGGGACCATGTGGATGACGGAGGACCATTCGAAATACGTTCTAAGGCCAGGGCGGTGTCGGATCGGTGCGGCTCCCGGCTGCAGTTTCACACTGCGCTGCGTGGGTGGATATTGATGAATCTGTTGGCCTTTGAGGATCGCGGGTTCCGTGACCAAATTTCAGCTTTTTAAGGCTCCAGATTCGCTGACTGACTCGTCGCCAGAGCACGTCTCAGAAAGGGTGCGGGATTGCAGGTCAGAGATGGGCTGCTCTGCAACCACAAACCATAAGACGAGACGCACCATTGTGCTGGCTGTAATAGGCTATAGTGTATCGGAGTCTGTATCTTCCGGCAAACAGTGGCAGGGACTTTGAAGTCGTAGTTTCACCAGAGAGCCATGTTCGATGGAGGATCTGGCCCCAAGGCAGGTGAAGGCGTCGGTCGGAGAGAGTGCAATTGCTGGATGCTGACAGGTCAGCCTTGCCGGGCGGGGAGGCCGACGCAGCTTGGAAGCCACAAGCTCTTCGAGCAGTTTGAAATTAACGTCTTGGCTTGAAGAGAGGGTGAGGGATCCATTGGCATATTTCAGTGCCTTCCAGTGCCGTTAGGGCCGATTCCAACTCTTCAGATCGGGCACCTGGCCTTCGGGGGCCGCAGGGTTTACAACCGCCTGGGTGCATCACAGAAACAGACACGATCAGGAAAATTGATGATTTAATTAACTCAGGAAGAGTGCTGGAAAGGGGAGGGAGCCAATTATGACGTGATACCCAACAAAGCTGTTCGTGCATGCTGCCGCCAACACTTGCATGTCGCTGCATTTGTAGTTGCTGTTGCGGGTTTTCTTCTGGTTCTTATTTTCTGACTTGTCTTCTTCTGGTCGTCGTTGTTGTTGTTCTTGTGGTTCTTGTGGTTCTTGTTCTTGTTCTTGTTGCTGCTGCCGCTGCTGGTGCGGCTGCTGCTGTTGCTGCTGCTGCTGCTGCAGCTATTGATGCTGGTGTTGCTCTTGTTGGTTTGCGTGTTGTTTGCTTTGGTTTGCTTGCCTGCTGGCCTGCTTGCTTGCTTGCTGTTGTGTTGCTGTCGCCGTCGCTGTCGCTGTCGCTGTTGCTGCTATTGTTGTGGCAGTGTCGTTGTCGTGGTTGTGGTTGTAGTTGTTGTCGCTGTTCTGCTAAGTCCAGCGCCCGCCACGCGCAGAGCACACTCGCGCCGCGTTCAATTGAAAATTGTTGTCGCTGTTGCTGTTGCTGTTGCTGCTGTTGCTGCTCCTCCTGCTGCTGCTGCTGCTGCTGCTGGTGTTGTTGTTGTTGTTGCTGTTGTTGCTGCTGCTACTGCTGCTGCTGCTGCTGCTGCTGCTGTTGCTGTTGCTGATGCTGCTGCTGCTGCTGCTGCTGCTGTTGCTGCTGTTGCTGTTGCTGTTGCTGTTGCTGTTGCTGTTGCTGTTGCTGCGGCTGTTGTTGTTGTTGTCGCTGTTGTTGTCGTTGTTGTTGACGTTGTTAGTTGTAGGTTGTTGCTGCTGCTGCTGTTGTTGTGGTTGTGGTTGTGGTTGTTGCTCTTGCTGCTGCTGGTGTTGTTTGTTTGTTTGTTTGTTTGTTTGTTTGTTTTGTTTGTTTTGTTTGCTTGTTTGTTTGTTTGTTTGCGTGTTTGTGTGTTTGTTTGTTTGTTTGTTTGTTTGATCTGCTTTGTTTCTTCTCTTTGTTTGGTTGGTTGTCAGTTTGTTTGTGTGTTTGTTGGCTGTTGTTTGGTACAGGTGTTGGAAAAAGATCTCAAACATTGACGTGGCGTTGCAGAGCGTTCGGGGTTTTCGCAGCTCAGGCGGCGAAAGCCGCGCCGAGTTCCTACGGCGCTCAGCAAAGGAGCGCGAGGATCGCGAGCGCATCTTGAAGTAAGAGTTTTCTGTCTCGAGCTGTTGGAACGCATGGAGCCATAGCAGAGGCTGCCAAGTTGACTTCGCTGAGGCAAGCGGGTCCGCGACATGGCGGCGACGAAAATCCAGGCTTGCTTGTTGAGGACATCTTGGTTCAGATGCACAAGAAGGATTTTCGAGCATGGGGCGTGGACGGGAACGCGTCGAAGAAAGCTTCGACTCACAAGTTCGTCCTCCGTTTTGTTTAGCTCGGTGGGACGTCAGCAGCCACGAGCCACGCAAGGCCAACTGGAAACGCGGCAAAGTACGCGAGGCCTCAATGGAAGTTGTGGAGCTCAACCCTGTGTGGAACGTGCTGTATGGTGAGCGAATGTGAGTGCTGCGAGGCCGTCTGTCGAGAGCAGCGAGCTCTCTTCGATGCACGTCTTAAGGACTTGGAGCAGGCTGAGCATCGCTGAAAACCCATTCATCGACACATGTGGCTGTGCCAGGTCGAGTCGAGGTTGCCAGCTGACATGAGAGCTCCGCTTGTACAGAAAGCGCTGCGAGACTATTTGCCGCCCGGCTGTCCATTGGCCTACCAAGATCCGTGCATCCCGCGCCCATTCAGGCTTCGGCCGTTCGGTCTCTTCTTCAGGCGTGGTCAGGAGCTGCCTCGAGCCATTGCACAGCATTTGCACGATAGCGCGCTGGGAATCTGCTAACGCGATAATGCGGCATTGGTGCAACACGAAAGCTCGGAGTTCAATAGCTGTGATGGATGCCTGGAAGGATACAAACCGGATGTACCGGATGGTAAAGCTGATGGAGTTCACCAGCCAGCAACCTGCACCGACCAACTACTTCTTCGGCTTGATAGCAGACGAGGAGTCGCATGTATCCGGTTTCGGTAGAGCGTGGATCCTTGCATTTTCCCGGCATTCGTCTCTGCAGGAGCTGACGAGAGTGACGACACTCATTCAGAGTGGCTGGGCTGTCAACTGATGTGCAGGCATAACATGCCAAACTGGAGCATGCCGCGGCGAAGCCTTGCAGGGACGGTTGCGGGGTGGCGTTGAATTGATTGCTGCATAGCAGGTATGCAGATTGTTACAGGTTCTTGACCTGCAGCCTCGTTCGGCCTTTGCCCCGAGGTTGGAAAGTGCTCAGGGCGATCCTTTCCATGGGCGAGTTTGTGAGGGTGGGGCCTAACCAAGCATGGCACACAATTCTAACTAGTCGACTGGAGCCAGCCTGTACCACTATAGCAGTGTCTGCCGGAGGTTGTCAAGATCCTGCCACGTGCTTACGGCCATCAAGACCCGGCTGCGATATTGAACTCTCAAAACTGACTGAGGAGTCGCATCCGCGATCTGCTCTATGACCCGACCACGAACAAGCCGCTGCATGCAGAGAGCGCCTCATCACAACTTCTTCTCTAAGGTCCAGATCGTAGGAAAATCCGATCAAGCCCATGGGTGCAGGAGAAGATCAGTCTCTCGTTCAGCGGCCAGCAGATTGTGGTTTCTCTCGCGTTTGTCACCTCCGAGAACTGAGGATCTCCTCAATTCTTTGCCTTCATGCTCAGGAAGACAGAGGCCTGGGCCCTTTGCTTCCGGTCTCTGCATGCCAAGCTGTAGCTTTCGTGCCACACCCTCGCTCCTTCCGCAGATTCTGGACTGGGCCCTCGAACAAGGTTCTTGGTATGTGAACTGGGAGGACGTGGTTTAGCATTGTGCTGCCGACGAAACATTTTTCCGGACCTAGTTGGTCTTCGGTGCAGGACATCAGACCCCCGGTCAGCTACCAGATGGACATGCTCAGACTCGCCTGTTTAGGCTGGTTCCGTTGATATACATGGAGGTGAGCTTTCGCACGTTTGTGTCATACTATACCAACATCTGTAAGCTGGCGATGCACACTTGCATTCTGCTTAAGGGTTTAGGCATGCCTTCATAGGCATCATTTGCCTGTATTGAATGTGACGTGCCGGAGGTCTCGGGGCATTGGAAGCCAAGACTCGCCGGCGCTTGATTCTCCAGGTTCTGTCTGTTTCTTGGCCGAAAAGAGACCTTGTGTGTGCCCATTGAAAGGCAGTCGCAGCGCATGGGAGATCATGAAAGCATTTTGCGTGACAAGGCACCAATACTCCTCCGAACACTGGAAAGTGTTACCTCAGAGGAGGTGCTGTGCGGGCCACAGCATAGCTTCCTTGGCTTCGGCCGCTGAGTGGTTGGAGTGCCGAGTCCGTTCATACATCCAATCCTTCTGCAGGGCTCTGGAGAGATAGATGGGCTCGACGAATTAGGCATGCAAGGCCATGCAAGTCGGCTTGCAAGGTCTCCCGTCTTTTCTTCCACGCATGTGGACTTGCGTGAGAAGACAACAGCGGTGAGCATTCATGGCAAGCGCGGGCAGTGGGAGGCGGCTCTGAAGCTCTTCCAGGAGCTCGATGAGGGTGGTGTCGTAGATGCCGTGCTGCTGTCGGCAGTAATCGGTGCATGCAGCAAAGCTGCGAAGTGGCAAGCAGCACTTTCTCTGGTGTTCGAGTTTGATCGCCGAAACTTGAAGCATGAACTGATCAGCTTCAACAAAGTCGTCAGTGCATGTGAAAAGGCTTGTGAGTGGCAGCAGTCGGTTTTTCTCATCGATGAGGCAAGAGGCAGGCTGCTGCGCCCAGATGTCTTTACCTTTAGCACTGCTATCAGCTCGGCTGGAAAGGCCTCGCAGTGGCAAAGGGCTCTGCAACTCTTTGCAGATGCCAGGGGGCAGTCAATACAAGCCAATGACTTTACATATGGTGCTGCGATTACTGCATGCGAGAGGGGTGGGAGCTGGCATGGTGCACTGCAGCTGATTCAAGAAATGCAAGACTCCAGCATCAATGCGAGCATAATCGCGTACAGTGCTGCAATAAGTGCCTGTGAGAAGGCATCTCAGTGGCAGCAAGCATTGCAGCTGTTGGGAGGCCTTCGCTGCGTCCAGCTCCGAAGTGATGTGATCTGTTACAATGCTGCTATCAGTGCTTGTAGCAAGGCTGGCGAGTGGCAGATAGCACTCGACATGCTACAGGAGGTGAGGATGAGAAGGTTGCGAGCATCCACCATAACATACAATGCTACTATATCCGCCTGCAGCCGCCTTGGCGAGAGCTGGGTGCTTGCACTTCTCCTGTTCTCCGAGCTGCGTATCCAGCAGCTTAAGCCCACGGCTGTCACATACAATGCCACGGTTAGCGCTTGCGAGGCGGGGGATCAGTGGGAGCTTGCTCTGGAGTTGCTGGCAGACATGGTGTCAACTAGGTGTCAACCTACACTGGTGTCGTACAACGCTTTGCTAAGTTTTTGTGGCAAGAGTGGAATGCAGTGGCAGCGCACCTTGGCTTTGTTCGACGAGCTGGATGGTCAAATGCAGCCGGATGCCATCTCATACGTTTCTGCTATTGCAGTCATTGGTGAAGCAGCGCAGTGGCAACAGGCCCTCTTCTTGCTTGCTTCGATCCGCGAACGGCATCTACAACCCACCCTTATCTCCATTAATTCAACCCTGTCTGCATGTCAACGGGCAAGCCAGTGGCCGCAGACACTGATGCTACTGGCTGATCTGGACAGCCATGGTCTGCAAGGTAATGCCTTGACAATCCAAGCTGGAGTGCAAGCGTGTGAGGCCAGCGAGCGGTGTGACCAGGCGCTTCGGCTTCTGACCGATGCACGCTACGAAGTGCTCGCTCAAAAGGTACTCTGGTATTCAAGACTGACGCTAATTAAGAAGTCCAGGTATGTGATGGTAGTTACCTTGAAGCTTCCAAGAGCTCCTGCTATACGCTCCTCGCCATTCCTTGACTGTGCCCAGGTCAATACTCGGACACTTCAAACTGGGCCCCCCGCCGAACGTGGAAGAGGATGCACCGCCCCTCGAGGAGGAGGCCAGAAAGGGCCTGTGGACAAGCCTAGGCTTAGAAGCGCTTGTACAGGCTTCTTGCCTGTGCACAGGCGCAAGTCGGACTTGGGCCTGTGATCTACATGTCGCTTAGGTATGCTGAGCCAGACTGAAGACGGCATGGCATGGCATAGATCCGGCATAAATACTGAGCGAGATTCAAGTGTCAGTCGGGATGAGTAGGACCGGCCACACCTGAAAATCAAGTCACGAACGCAGACAACTCTGTGATTTTCGTCATCCGGACAAGCGGTCATCTTTGCTACTGCTACATGTACTAGATGATTCCTGGTGTCCCGGGCTCACCGAGGACTCGAGCACAGAGCAGTCGTAGTATGTCGTAGTCGCATTTCGGCTGCGTGCGACTTCGGGTTCCAAATTTGCTTGTGCTGGGTGGACTGGGCTCGTGAGCTCGGTGAGGCAGATGAAATCCATGATGGAGCCACTGTGCGTATGGAGATATTCGCCTTTCGCTCAGAGTTTTTGCCTTGCTAAGTCGCCATGCGTGATGCTTTGTGTTTTTGCACGCGGTGCGAGTGCACAGGCACGTGCCCGCACGTTGGCTGCATGATGCTATCATGCCCGGTCTGAGATGCATACTCAGGCAGGCAACGCAGGCTCCGTCTTCCCGGGCTACCTTCATCTGGGCGAGCCGTGCCAGGCTTAGAATGGGCGCTGTGAAAATGCCGTATCAAAGAAAAAGATCCTGAGGCCGGAGGAGGTGCTTGGCTGGCTCATGTGGCTGAAGGCGATGTCAGCCCACAACCGCTGTAGCTTGAGGAGATGAGATGCTCGTGCAAGGCTCGAGGGCGAGTGCATGTTGTCTTCGCGCCAGGCTAAGTTGCCGGCTTCCTTCTTCACAAAACCGGGTGGCCCGAAGCAGGACAGCTCTTGCTTCCTGTGGAGAGTGGCAGAACTTGTTTCAGAAAGCATAAGGTTTCAATCGCTACACAGTGTCCACAGGAACTCGTAAGTCCGGTTGCTGTCTTGTCGCACATTTCTGCAGTCGCGGTGGCGTCATCAGCTTTGGAGCCAACAGCTGGTTTCTCGTCTTTACCGCGCGGCTCGAGGGACGAAGTGGGATGCCCGGACATCGGCAGTGTGATGCAGCAGCATGTAGTTCATGCGGGGCAGAAGTGGCAGAGAATTGAGAAGAGCTGCCCATACCCTGCGATTGGTTTTTGTCCACCCGTCTCGTGTTTGATATTTTGGTGTGTTCTAGATTCACCACATGACCTGAGATTGTCGACAGTGCTGCAAGTCTCTTGAAGCTGGAGGCTGCTGGATCGTGTCTTGTCCTTCTACTACGAGGCGAACGGGAAGACCTCTTTCTTGGAGTGAGGAACCCTGTGCGGGTGGAAGAAGCCTGTCTCTTCAGGAGCCGACGGTCACCTATCCGGACACGATGCAGGAGAACGGCAGTGACTGGCAAGTGTTTGGTGTGTCGGTGTACATTATACGGGGCTTACGACGGCTTTGCGATTGCTGCAGTTGGGCCCAGTTAGCTTCAAGGCTTTTTTCGCATCATTGGCCCTCCTAGATCTTGAACGCAAGCAAAAGCTTGCGGTACAGGCCTCCTTTTTGGACCTGCCGGCCCGAGTCCGAACGTGCAATCATGGCTGGCCTTTGGAACGCACTTCGGTCTGAAGTCATGGGCACCGTCGACGAATTTCGTCAAAAGGGTGCAATTGGTGCCCTGCGGGATGCAGCTCTGGATGCCCGAGACATGGCAACAGATGCAGGCTCTTGGATTGTCGGCAACGTGAAATCTCTCGTGGATGGTGATGGCAACCCTACGGCAGTGCTTCGCTATGATGGAGTACCAGCGCGGGGGGCCACCGCCCCCTTGCAGTTCAGTGATGGCCGTGTGATGGAGGCGACAGTGTTGCAGGTGGATGGTGTCTCGCAGCCTCCACGTGTGCAGGTGAAGGTGGATGGAATTGACGAGGCCATGCTGGTTGTGGTGTACCCCACTGATGCAGTCGCCCCTGATGGGGCCACCGAAGCCACGGATGCAGGCTTGTTGGCGAGCATCAGGCAGGAATTTAAAGACACAGTTCAAGACTTCAGACAAAAAGGTGCTGTAGGCACGCTCAAGGATGCCGCGTTTGACGCAGTGGACATGGTCGGCAGCACAGCTGGAAAGGCAGTGGATATTGTCGGCAGCACCGCCGGAAAGGCAGTGGATGGAGCCATGTCCTTAATAGATTCAGAGCCGAAGGCTGCACAGACAGCCACAGGCGAGCAAACAGCTCCTCAACAACGTGGCAGTGTTATGCAGTTGGTTGACGGAGTGAAAAGCGAGATTCACAGCACCGTGCAGGATTTCCGTGAGAAAGGGGCCGTCGCCACTTTCAAGGATGCCGCCTTGGATGCTGTGGACCTTGTCGGCAGCACCGCCACCACCGTCGTGACCGGGGCCAAAGGTGTTGCAGCTCCCCTGCTTGAAGATTTCTGGGCGGGTGAGAAGCCCACAGATCCTGCCAGCAGCCCTGCGGCCCCTGCGGCTGAAACAGCATCGAGCTCGTCCGCCGCTTCTGCAGGTGCGGGCGCTCCCGGAACTGTCACCCCGGCCTCTGCATCCTCGACACCCACGCCCGCTACCGCGGCACCCAGCGCACCCAGCGCAGCACCCGGCGGCTACTCAGCGCCTGCACCCGCATCCGGTGCAAGCCCTCCAGCAGGTGGCTATGCAACAAAGGCCCCAGAAGCGGGCTCAGAGGAGAAGCCTGCCAAGAAATCCTTGGTGGAGATGCGACGCAATATGTTCGAAAAGCCGAAGGACGAGGCCAAGGAGGAGAAGAAAGATGAGCAGAAGGACGAAGAGGAGGAGGTTATCGACTGAGGTACAGGAAGCAGCTGGACTGTAGACAGGCTCGTGCCTAACCCGACTTTTTGCTCGCAGTTTAAAAGGACGCTAGAGTGCACTTGCAGGCTGGCAGAATTTCGGGTTCGCGTTGCATCGACCGGTGCTTTGGCGCCAGGAGTTCACATTTCGGACGGACATTCTGGCCTCTTGGCTCCTTCAGAAATCCCGTGTCCGTGTTGGACCTCAACGCGGTCCAACTGATGCCTTCACTTGCTCATGTTTGGCCTTTGCGGCGTTGAAGGTGCAGATCAAGCCGATGACCATCGGCTGGTCGCAGCTTGATGCGCCCGACTACCGGAGCGCAGAAGCCATCAGGCAGTTTCGGGGCTCCGTGGTTGCTTGATACTTCTTGGAGCATCAAGTCTGCACCATACACCATACCAGACGAGAGCCTGCATGGTATCAGGCTTCTGGCTTGGTGCATCTTCTTCCATGAGAAGCTGCGAAGCACCTTCGATGTGGAGATGGACAGCCCTCAAGGCCAGTTTCCGAAGCCCTGAAGCCACATTCTTCGAAGCGTGTCTGATGCGGGAGGCTGGTGGTCGTGCTTTGACCATGAGCGGATCTGGCCTGGTCCACGGTCCTCCGGCACCGTGCTGCAAGGAGTCCTCACTTGTCGAGGCCCCACCTGAACAATCTGCTCCTTCGCATCTTCCGCGACTGCCCGGACCCGGGGCCCCTCTCCGAGCAGGCCCAGGCCAGGGCGGGCCAGGCGTACTCGCACACGCATCCTCTTAAGTGCTGTCCCTCCCTGCTCTCAGATGTTGCGAGTCCATCTCAGCAAAGTGCTGTCCCTGGTGGTCCAGCGCACGCGACGCCTAAATCGGAAGCCCTGGTGACCTGGATTCAAACTGGCATTGCCATGCCAAGCTGAAGTCAGGGTTAAGGGGTTCATAGTACACCTTTCCCGGTGATGGAGGCTTTTGGAAGGCCCCACTTCCGAAAGCCGAGGTGGCTGGTGCCACCGCTGCGTGCAGCTCTACAGGATGCCCTCTGTCCCTTTGTGGCTTTCGTGCAGAGACCTTTCAAGGCCCAAAAGGCAAAGCAACAGAAAGTCACTGGGGGCAGAGCACGCGAGAAGTGGAGACGTACCATCAGGACAAGAATTTCCTTGAGATCTCTGCCAATGTGTCGGCCTCGCTTGGTGTGTTGCGTGGCCGCAGAAAACATGCGGGAGGAATGCAGAGTTGTGTAGACATACAGTGCACTGAACTTCGAGACTGTGTTCGTAAGCAAGGAACGAGAGCGCAGACGCGCCTTGTGAAGCACCCCAGACTATGGAGGCAGCCTCAGCGAAACTGCTGGAAGTGGCACTGGCAGAGGCCATTTGGTTCTGTTGCTCACAGAGGAGCTGTCAAGATGAAGCAGAGAGAGTAAACGGAGTAAGGAGGAGGATATTTCTCGAGAGGACTACAGGCAGGGACGATAACATACGACGAGCGAGCGTGGCACTGTCCAATGCGAGTCCAGTTATGGCCTCACTTTCACTTCCTGGTGCATGGTGTAATTCACATGTCGCCGAACTGTACAGGATAGGGAGAGTTCGTCACGTGAGCTTAGCCGGAAAGAAGAGAGCAAGCAGCCACAGCTACTTCAACAGGAAATATACCTCATTCCTTCACTCACTGTTGTGCATGGGGGGCAGACATGCGTTGTAGGGGATCGCCGGTGCAAGGCGCAAAGTGTCCACATTCGGAAAGGAGTCCAGACAAAGTCTCAGCGTAGCAAGACGTCGAATTGATGCACTGCGCGAACGATGAGGATACTGGGGTTGAAGCACATACGGCGCCCCAAGTAGCAGCTGTGCAGGCTCCGCAGATGGTGCCATTCGAAGACCGTGCGATGCCTGGAAGAGAGAGATGAAGAGCCTGCACAGTCTTGATTTTATCAGCACCACAAGTACTGCCGTGGTGCCCCCCCCCAATCATCTCGTCACGTGCTGTGATGATGCTCGAGCACGCGTTTTCCGTGTTCTGTCGGTACTAGTAAGGAGTGGCCGTCATGCAAGCGATGATCCGGGTCGACAAGGACACGCCTTATAGACACTCTTCAACAGCGTATCAGACCGCAGCAAATGCATCAAGAGAGAACCGCTGCAAGCATCCAATTTTCTGTGCAGATGCAGCGCGAAGACACCCGAGCCGACTGGGCACGTGCATCTTTGAGGAAACACCGAATTCGCAGCCTGCCATGAGTCAGCTGTTTTGTGGCAGAGCCCAAATTCCAAGTCAAACGTCACACTCTCGCTCTGGTGGCCACAGAATTACCTAGGTCGGGACTACATCATGGAGGACGGGTTTGCAGCCTTTGCGCAATTGAAGACCGAAGCAGAGCTCCGGTCAACCTTCGTGGTCGAGTGCCCTGGCAAAAAAGGCCATTGGCCGGTCCAGATGGGTGCAAGGTGCCGCGAAATGCAGCCAAAATAGTGCCGAGCGCTGTAGACCCAAACGGCTTCGCGTGCCTTCGATGTGTGCGGAGGAAGGGGGGAAAGGCTCTACGCGCTTGGGTGGGCCGGTTGTACTTGAAGCACTAGCATAGTGGTTCTGGCAGGGCTATGATCAAAGGCAGGTTACCATCAAGCAGGGATAGATATGCATGTTGAACTTCGTGCAAAACGTTGTAGCGCTGAGTGGAAGCTGCTGAATCGCATGCGGCCTACAATTCCGGCTTCGATCAGCTCCGCCCTGCGGCGGGTCGAGTTGATCGAATTGCTTTCGCATCTTTAAATCAATTGCCGGGTAGAAGGCCGCACCATGCCCACGGAGTACAATGGCAAACGTGAAGGTTTCAGCGGCGACTGTCGCTTCGCCATGCTCAGCGCCAACAACACAGGTTCAGAGCCCTCGGCGCGACGACAACGGCCTTTACTGGCATTCTGCCACCCCGACCCCCGCAGATCGAGCTGTTAAGCCAGCGTGCAAATACCTTCATCGGTGTCGACGAGGCGGCCTACCATGAGACTCGTCAGCCATGATGCACGTGGTCCCCCCGGCATCCTTTGATCTCTGTAAAGCGCTCGTGCTTCGTCACAATGCCGCCCGAAGGACAAGTCGATGGAATGTGTTCGGTTCTATGAGTCATGCGCACTGGAGAGCGACCTCTTATCCTGTTCCGAATGGAGTCGGATCTTTGCACCCCTGCCTGTGCTGGAAGGCGCTCGACAGGCAGCTCTTAGTCGAAGAGTGATTCGCATGCGCGCGTCGTGTCGAGCGCAATGCATGCTTGAGGTAGGTTTGAGGCACTGTCATAATGGCAGTGCTAGCCTGGCCTTGGCAGCATTTGCACTGAGGTTCGTTGCAGCAGATGGCAGCCTGGAGAGCGGAATCGACGGCGGCGGATTGTTCAAAGAGTTCATGTGTTTCGGCTTGTCCTTGATATTTCCACCTCTGTAGCGCTGATGCATACCGTAGGGGCGTGAATCAGTTTCATCGCAGATGAGAACTTGCACACCGCACTATCCTCGTTTCCTGTGGAGCCGGGCCTGCACGAAATCCGAGGATTCTTGTCTGCCGTGCGGCCATGAGCCCCGCGTATGGTTTGTTCAGTGCGAGCAGCGACCAGACGCTCTATCCATTCCCAACGGCTCACATGCTGCACCCGAATGCGCCACAGCTGTACACATTCTTGGGCAAGGCCGGGCTGTAACGTAACCGATGAACCTTCAAAGCCTTGTGCCCATAAAACAGGTCATTGGAAAAGCGATCTACGAGCAAATGCTGCTGGAACACCAGCTCAGCCGAGCTTTCCTTAACAGAATACTGGACAAGATGGGAGATGCCGAGGAGTTGAGAAAGCTTCTTACCATGCTTTTGGCGGTGTTGAAAGAGCGTCTTTGCGTAGGACCTGGCCAGTATGGACCGCGAGGCTGCCCGTAACATTGCTCAGTTGCGTACCTCGGATCGGTTATGGCGAGCTCGCTGCGAGAGCTGCCATGTCTCCTTGTGTGCAGCATCTTTGCACGAGGCCAGACCAAGAACATCAAGGAAGCTGCTTTGGCATTCTTTCGCAGCAAGAGCATGGGAAGAATTTCTTGAACGCCGATCGCGCTGTGGACGGCTTCAAGTTGCGTCGTAAACGTTTCTCGTACCACCTCGCATGCAGCCCATGCCCAGAAACGACCATCTGTCGCTGCCACACTCTTCAACCATGTGGCTGTGGCTCGTGCTACCCTAGCCGTACACCCCGCCCAGACACCTGAGGCAGTCCCCAAGTTGTGAGAGACCGGTGAAGGAGCTCGGCCTCACATTCAGCACTGCCGTGCCTATGCCGGGTGGCGCGATTCAGGAGGCATAATAGGAGGGTGTGTATGTGTTAGAAGTGCATGCGGATTTCAGGATTCGGCTTGCGCATGGTCGATCTTAACTGGGATCTTGTGTGCAACCTCGTGGGATTTGCTTCTGGTAGTGATACCTGTTGATGGCTTTAGGCTGTGCTTGGCCATGGCCATGATACTCCGACACCGGGGCCCCTCCCGGGCTTGGCAGGCAGACCTCTGCCAGCGCGGGAGATTCCGGGCTGTGACCCAGGCTCGGGATGGCTTAGGGCTTAGGTTGTTGGGCTTGGAAATCGAGTCCGGTGAGGACAACGTGGACTCCTATGTGCAGCTCTTGATGGATCACCGCGTTACTGCGCAGATGGCACTTCAAACACATTTCTTCCTGGAAGGGTTAAAGTGCCTATCCTGCATCTGGTATGATCATGCAGAAGATGCCATGTGCTGTCCGAGCAAAGATCGAAGATGTAGCCATTCCGGAAGGTTAGCGGATAGCCTCGCTTTGAGGAGGGTAGCTTCACTTCGTGCCAGTTTGCGTTCTTGGCCGAAGTCCCAGGTGTGTTCTAGACTTGAAGTGGCTCCGCATGTTCGACGCGCGCGAGCTTGGGATCATCATCTCCGGGTCTTCTGCTGGATTTGACGTGGCAGATCTGAAAGAAAACACGGTCTACAATGGTGGATTCACGGCAACTCGGTGTCTAAAGTGGCAGAGACAGCCGCCAGAGTCTGGAAGTGCGATCCTGTGAGGATCGCAGTCCGGTGATTCGGTGGCTCTGGGACTTGCTGGAGAATGGACTGGACTCCGAGGCTGCTGCCATGTTCGCCGCATCTTCGAAGCGCTTCGGCCCTGTGCTGAGAGGACATGGGCCGCTTCCTGATGTTCGCCACGTCCTGCAGCCGACCGCCTCTTCTGGGCACCTTCGCTTCTTAGGGGGAAGAAGGCCGCAGGCGGCCTTGGGCGCTTCTCTTTGCTGAGGTTTCAAGAGCTTCGAGCCCAAGTTCTGCATCCACAAGGTTGACGACTCGCGGGGGCCCCCCGTCCAGAGTGGATTTCAGCCGGCTCTCAGATACTTTGCTGAGGTCTCGCTTGCCAACAGTGTCTCAGCGGAATTCGGATTCGTCCTTCCGCATCTGTGCGCTTCTACTTGGCTTATGCGCAGGCGTCAACATGTGCAAATCTCTTGAAGCTGCCAGTGCCGACCCGAGCTGCAAGTTCAAAGACACGCTTAAGCTTGCGACTGTCCGGAAGCGACGAATTCGACCTCGCGCCCAGGCGTATACCAGTCAACAAATGCTGCGGGACAAGTTACTTCAAGCCATTCGTTCCGAGAGTGGCTTTGACTTGAGCTGACGGCACATGGAGCCGCTTTTTCGCGACCAACGCGGGAAATTGCAACAGGTCCTATGGACAACTTTGCAATCCATGGCCAAAGGGCCTGGAATGTTAGCTGGGCCGTGCAGGCCATGCATCGCTTCACAAGCACAAAGCCGTGAGATCCTCGCCGCTGTCCGTACTTTTTTGCATGAACGCATCCGATGCACCGGCTTGTGAGGTCCAAGCCTCTTTTAACGGCTCAGAGCGGTCCAGATTTGGCCCATGTCTGAACATGGGTCGGCAGGGGGGGGGGAACTCTCAGGCAGGTCTGTGTCTGACATGCCCAAGCGCATCTAGCGGCTAGATGATGGCCAGATGCGCAAAGAAGCAGTAAGAGCTATTCTTTCGCATGAGCACAACTCTGGCTACATGATCGCGGGTGGTGTCTGCCGTTGATGCGGCCGTGAGTTCCGTGACTTGCAATGCTACTTGACTTGTACTGCAGAGAATCGAGTTGTTTTGATGCAAGCAGTCATGGGTTGTGTTTAGACGTTCGTTTCGATACTTTCGAGGACTTGCTAAGAGACAGGTGAATGAAGTCAATAGGCTGCGAAATCATGCTTTCGACTGTTCTTGGATGCTTGCCTGGAGATGCTAGTTCCATCCATGCTGAAGGCCAATGTTTCTTTGGCTCACACAGGCCTCGGGAGCGCTGACTGTATAGCTTCTGCTGCCTTCGATGCAAACACGACTGTTGTTAGCGGCAGGTCCTGCTTTGGTCCTCCGGTTCCTGCGCCGAAGCTGAGGCTCGGATTGCATCACGTGACTGGCCTAGCTCCATGCTCAGCACGGCGGGCGGGCTGTCTCAGGAGGGATTTGCCAAGACCGGGCAGGGCACCTGAGCGGTTGCAGCCAGCACGACCAGAGCTTAGGTCGAGTCTCTGCTGAGGCCTGGTCTTCTCTTTGAAACGCCCTCCTATCCGATAGGAGTGGCACTCGGGAGGCCGTGAGTACTGGCCTTTGTTCCATGCGGATCTTGCACCCAGCGCTTCAACGCGTGTTTGTCAGGACTCAGCCTGCAAGCCTTGCTGGCAACCGCAATGGAGAGCGCAGTGCTGCGACGAGGGGCAACGAGACAGCGAAGCAGGAGGCATTGCCACGGCTTCGCGAAAAACTACAGGAAGCGCTGGCCAGAACTAGGGAGGCTGAACGGCAGGACTCTGTGCATCAAAAGCAAGCAGTTGACTTGCGGGAAGAAGTGAAGCGCTTAAAGCTTCAGATGGCCAAGGTGGTGCAAGAGGAGCAGTTGGCACAGCAAGTGCAACAACAAGCTTTGGTATCACAGAGGAATGCTTCAGCCCGCATCTCAAAGCTGCAAGCACTGGAGCAAGCGCGCGCAATTGC